AATCTCAGACTGACTGAGTCACTGTTTTTATGGTTTTGGTGTTTGTTGGTGTTTGGGTTTGTGTGAAGAAAATAGGAAATAGACATCATTACTGACAGCATAACTAGGGTAATGATGGAGGAGTTCAAAGACATTTACACTAACTTACACCTGCTAATGGTAATCTAATAAATCTAATTCTAATTATTAATTCATTATCCAAACTGCAGGTTTCTTATCTTTTAGCAAAAAAGAAATTCCATAAAAGTTGACTTTCTAAAACAAAAGTAAAAAGTAATTCCATAAAAGTTGACTTTCTAAAACTACAATATTAAAAAGTCAGTCACATGGTAAATCACTTATTATTATTTCTAAAATAAAAGAAGGGAAAATAATTGAATTTACTGATAACCCCAGATCCATTTGTTGAATTATTCACGACATGACTCCTGTCTGTCGGATTTACATTTTTAGACATTTTCTCTTTTACTGATTATGTAAACACATCATTAAATCATCACTGCCACCGTGGACTGTTACATTTCCCATACGTTTTATTGGTCAAAAAGTCAAAATCACTTCCCACATTTCCACTTTGAAAATGAGTTGGATTCTGTTTCAAAAACAGCTTCTTCTAACGTTTTATGAATTATGTTACACACAAAAATATTGTGATATAAGTTGTTTTTGATCCACATAATAAATAGAGGTGCAGGTGAATCAACACTTGAAAAAAATAGAGGTGCAGGTGAATCAACACTTTTTTTTTTCTTTTTCCAACACTGATGTAGGCGTGCTTTTAATGCTGAGGTTGTCAATATGTGCACAGTGCAGTGAAGGTTTTACCACAGTAACTATAAACCTACTGCAGTCTGCAGTCTTTACAACTTTATTTCAAAACCATCATGTCACAGTGTATGAAGATTTTAATGATGATGATGGAGTTGTAGAAATTAGTGCTAAAAATAATAGACACTAAAATAAAATCTTTAAAAAATATTTTAAAAGACAGGATCTTATGGTAGGTTTTAAGAGCAGTTTTAATCTTTAATATTAGCAGCGTGGGACTTCGGAGGTTAATGAACTCAGCCTTGTCACTGTCAGCTAAATCTTCTCTGCAGTGCACTGAGCACAGAGCTTTTATTGCATATCCTTGGATACGTCTCCTCAGCATTTTGATGCACGGTGCTTTTATAGCCGTATTGTTTTCAAGGTATAAGGGAGTGGCTCTCAGAAGATGGAGCTGAAACAGGAGGACACGACAGGGCGTGTTGTGGCTGACGGCATTGGCATAACTGCTGGTTACCAGGATGTTGTAGCAGTGATTCAAAGAGACTCCAGACCCCACACCCTTTTATACCGGCATGTCAATGCCATTTTCCCATCCTCCATTCTCTGCCCCGTCTTCTTCATCTTCCTCATGTGTGTCGTTGCCTTGCAACCAAAGGCGAGATGCACTGTTGATGTGGGAATAATTAGCAGCGTAGAATCCCCAAGTGTCTGTCAGTGAACAGAGAGAAGAAAGGAGAAGACAGGGGACAGACAGGGAGTGGAACAGAGAGGATAAGGGGCGCAGGAGGGGAGGGTGGGAGGGCAGGGCGACTGGAGAGGAGAGAAAAGCAATCAAGGATGCAAGGAAGACTTAAAACAAAATATATAGGAAGTCACAGAGGAGGTGACTGTACAGTATATATGGGAAAACTGGAAATATAGATACAGTCTGTCTATCTGTCTATACATCACTAAATTTTAATGTTTATAACGCCCCCTGATGGGGAAGAAAAGGTAGCCGCTTGCGTTTGCCTGCCATCTAAAATGGGAAAAACTTTAAGTCTGTCCTCCTCTGAGGTTTGACTTTCTCTAAGACAGACTTTTAACTATTGATTAGACTTCAAAGAAGTTGTCTCATATTTTCTTTAAGCTGTGTGATTCAGCACTTTGTTGTACTTATGTGAAAAAAGAGGAGGCGACGGCTTTAGCATCGATCTTGTTACGTACAGCTTTCAGAAAGAAAAGTGCACCGCTGCCCAAAATAACTTCCCAACATCGAGGCTATCTTTTTATGCCTCGTAATTTGCAGAAAACAATTTGTCCCGGGGTAACAAACAAACAGCAGGTGGTTCTGCAGTAGAGATGGCGGAGGATGAATTAGATTATCTGTCTGCTTGGTACAAGAAGCCCCATCCATCACACTGCGCTACAGCCTGGCAAACCAGGGGCTCACAGTGAGGAGGGGGGGAAATCAGCAGCAAGGCAGGGGAACTGCAGTAAATCCCTGATGGACATGTGATACATCTGATTATGTATAGATTTCCCAGCACTCAACTATCAACACTGAGGCCTGAAAGGGCAACTGGAGACTTAAAAAGCCATCAGTGGGCCGCAAATCCATTCCAGACCCTCAATTATTGGGGTGTTTGAAGACAATATAATTTATGATCGATTTACGGTGTTTAAACAGATTTATCCCAGCTGACTGGCTGCATGTATATGTAGTTTCAAAGTCAATCTTGAAGGTAAATTAGACGATCGACTGGTCAGGCATCAGTCAAACTTCCTGTTCACAGTTTATCAGAGGAGACAGAAGCAGACCATGAGAGAACATCAGGGTTTCCTAATTATTGTTTTTCTCTCTGCCATGTTGTCATTGGATTTGACAGGTTATTTCCTAATGAGTTTAAAGCCCGGTGGTCTCAATACTTTGATGAGAAGATTGATTGGTCTGTGGGAAAGCGTGAGCAGAGACCGTACGTCCCAGATGTGGTGTGTGCTATCGTTTTCCTTTTCATACAGTTGTGTCGAAACGTGGTAAGCAGTGACATCGGCGCCCGCCTCCACCCACATGTCTGCTGGTGGAAGTCAGTGGGGTCAATTATTCAGAAGTGGTGGAAAAGGAAATGACAGGGAGGGGGAGGTGCTGACACCAAGAGGAGACAGTCCTGAAGGATTTAAAGACCGTAATCCTCATGTGTGCACTTATGACTGCAGAAAGGTGGAGGCGCTGGGGTCACGTGTTCCACTCATCTATTTTGGTGTGGTGCCATCCACATCGACGTGTCTCGCCTGGTTCCGACTGTGGCTGCCGGGCTGCACCGGTCTTACACTGTCATTCTGCCAGGAGGAGAATGCTCAGTGATGCGTTAGCTCGTCTCCTGCTGAGACAGAGCTGCAGGACCAGAGCTATAGTCGGGGTCAAGCAAGCGTCAGGGCACAATGTGTCATTTTTTTGACAAGTGGGCCAGGACATACAGTCTGGTGGTCTTGGTGGTGTGGGTGAGGGTAGTCTGTCTGTCTGTCTGTCAAAATATGCACCAACTGTCATTATACAGACATATGGACATTTTGTAAACAATAAGGGTCGGTCCTTTGCTTTAAACTATAATTCATAATATAATTTAAAAATATTTTTGGACAAATAACATTTTATTGTGTTCATTTAATATGAGCAAGTGTGTGTTAACTATTATTAAGGACATTCACTTACAAAGAAATTAAAATTAGAAATATAGTAGAATGATTCAGATAAGGCCGGTTTATCTCCATTTATTTAATCTATGATTGAAGATGAAATAAAACAGAAAATGCAAAATGTGTGAAAGTATTTCTTCATTGATTTTGATTATAAAATCGAGAACCCATTATTGGTACAGCACTTCTGAACACACTGCATTTACTGAGCCTCATTTATTGAATCGACGTTTTTGTATTTTAGTTTAACACAAATCAATAATGGATGTTTACGAAAACATTCTCCAATCGTTTTCTTTAAAGATGTAAAGAGCAGGAGTCAAACGTATAACTCCCATACTGTAGGTCTGTCTTCATACAAAGCACTGCCAGTCTGTTGACTGACATTTGACACATAATTACAGACAGTGTGGTCTGAACTCCTTTCACTGAGCTCATTGAAGAGTATCTGTAAAGAAAATACGTTTTCTCATGAATTTCAAGTGAATGAAAAGGTTCCTCTGTACGGAGGGCCAGTCCGTCGGGAGGAGGCTGCAGGGTTAATGGCTGCATGAACTCCATGATGAAAACCTTCTATATGAAATATGTATGGAGGAATGGGCCCAGCTGTCAGATTATGACTGCAGTATCACGTCTCTCGGGATGAGACGCTGACTTCATGGAGTATATTCATCTGAATTTCAGCCTGTATTGTAACACCCCGCTTCCATCTTAGTGGGTAAGGCTTCATTCTCCCATGAACTGCCACTGCTGTATACGTTTGGTGATTTTCAGTGAGAAATTTGTTCATTCATTTGTTGTGTTCCGTACATTCCAAGAACAGAAAAAATTCTTATTTGAAGAAATAGACTTACTACTGCACATGCATAATATCAATGTATATTTATGTTCCGTGTGTTTTCTGTTGCAGGTCAGAGAATTCTGCATCATAAAAGTAATGTCCTGGAAACAGTGGTTCTCATCAACCCTTCAGATGAAGCAGTCAGTACTGAGGTAAAATTGGCTCCGTGTTGTTAGCAGTTTGTCATCATAATGTCCTCCCTCTGTCTCTGCTAATGAGAGCAGATTTACAACTCTTTAAAGAACACACACGCGTTAGCAAAATTAAACCTGGAAGGTATTAGTTATAACGTCGCTGCTGTTTGTCCAGTTATCCACTGGCATTAATGAAGTGTAATTTGCTGATCTGGTTGAAATACAGGAGCAGTCCAATTCCAAAGGGACAAAACTAATGATTCATTCACAGTGACATTAACAAGCAAGGCATTTATTAAAGAGCACATTTTAATGGAATACTAGGTGTGAAGCTTAGATGGGATGAGATTCTCCATGTGTCATGACATCATTTTAGCGCTGGCTTTACCATATCTCTGTCTGCAGTCAAGCTGTGCATTAATTATATTTTAGAGCTCAGTGAGATGGACCTGGGCTGCAGCCCAGACCAGCTGATGGTGAAACAGACCAACAAAGAGATGGGCTGAGAGGGGGCGGGGTGGGATACCGTAGATGGATAAGAGGGAAATGTACTTTTATTGAGTGGTCAGCTAATTAGCTAATGGACTTGGGAACATTTCATTTAAATTTAACAGGTTCTTTAGCTAATTGCTTTTCAATGCCTTCTAAACGCTGTGATTCAACATTATTTTTAAGTGCAGCTTTTTAGTTTTGATTAATAAAATATGATATATGTCTCTTTTTCTTTTCCAGGTTCGTCTGATGATTTCAGACACGGCCAGACACAAGCTTCTGGTTCTCTCGGGCCAATGTTCTGAAATGTCAGGGGAGCTGATTCTTCAGTCCGGATCCTTTTCTTTCTCTAATTTCATAGACATATTCACTGACCAGGAGGTGAGCAAATGTCCACTTATGTTTTATACCATGTCACACTGAACTCGATGAGCATTCACACACAGTTACCAAACGAGTTGTACAACGAGCTGGAATGTCAGTCGTCTTGGTGGTGTTTTTAGAGTTTAATTTTTTTTTCCTCTCATGCCCAGATTGGGGAATTGCTCAGCACCATTCACCCAGCAAACAAAGCCTATCTTACACTCTTCTGCCCCGAACAAGGCGACTGGAAAAACTCTAACTTGGACAAACACAACCTGCAGGACTTCATCAACATGAAACTAAACTCAGCACTTATACTCCCCGAGATGGAGGGGCTCTCTGAATTCACAGAGTACTTGTCCGAATCCGTCGACATCCCGTCACCTTTTGACATGCTAGAACCACCAACCTCAGGTGGATTCCTGAAACTCTCCAAACCGTGCTGTTACATTTTTCCTGGCGGTCACGGCGACTCTGCTCTCTTTGCTGTGAATGGCTTCAACATGCTCATTAACGGCGGCTCAGACCGGAGGTCCTGCTTCTGGAAACTGGTGAGACATTTGGATCGGGTGGACTCCATCCTGCTGACGCACATTGGTGATGATAACCTCCCAGGCATCAACAGCATGCTGCTGAGGAAGATTGCCGAAGCTGAGGAAGAACAGTCTCAAGGATCAACAGCGAACAGTGACTGGGTGAAGAACATGATTTCTCCAGATATTGGTGTGGTGTTTGTGAACCTTCCTGAGAACCTAGATAACCCTGCACCCAACTACAAAGTGCGGAAGATCATTGAGGAAGCAGCTTCTACTCATCAGTTCCTCACCAAGTTAAATTTAAGGATAGAACCATTGCAGAGGCCTGTTGGGAACACAATAGAACCAATAATCCTTTTCCAGAAGATGGGCGTTGGAAAGCTTGAGATGTATGTGCTTAATCCTTCGAAGAACAGCAAGGAGATGCAGCACTTCATGAAGCAGTGGACAGGCAGCGAAAAAGACGCGGCTTCCATTCTCCTGCCAAACGGAAAAGAATCCCAGTTCCCTGTCTCTTACTTGACATCGATTTCCTCACTCATCGTGTGGCACCCAGCGAATTCCTCAGAGAAGGTTGTGCGAGTTCTTTTCCCTGGAAATGCCACCCAGCATCACATCTTTGAAGGTTTAGAAAAGCTAAAGCACTTGGAGTTTTTGAAGCAGCCTGTTGTAACTCAGAAAGCGATGTCTGCCACCGTGTCTTCAACACCAACCATAAAGCAAGCAAAGATGAAACACAGGGCGGACAGCAAAGAAAGTCTGAAATCCACCCCCAGGCCGTCACCAAGCAAGAGCATCAGGAAGGACTCAAAGGAGGAAGCTCCAGAAAAGGCAAAGACAGATGCAGAAAGTACACATGAAAAAACTCAAAAAGTGGAGAAAAAAGAAAAGGTCTCAGTGAGAAAAGTAAAGACGAGTGAGAAAGAATCGAAGGCAAAGGCAGACACAACAGTACAAAATGAAGCACTGGAAAATAAAAAGTCTGAACTTAAACAAAAGGCAGAAAAGGTGACTAAGAAGGAGCCGAGAATTTCAATGGAGAAGAAAAGAGAGGCAAGAAAGGAAGTGGCAAAGAAAGATGATATTTTTAAACAGGAAAGTCGAAAAGATGAGAAGGTGAAAAAGGAGGACGCAAAGAAAACTTTGAAGAAGGACATCAGAAAGGACTCCCCTCTGAAGGAGAAGAAAGAAGAGAAAAAAGAGCAAAAGAAAGACATCAGAAGGCCAACCAAGGATGTGAAAAAGACGGATGAAAAGAGTTCAGCACCGAAACCAAAGGCTTTAAAGAAAGACAGTGCCTCAAATAAAGACGCAGGATTACCATCGAAATCAAAGGAGAAGGGAAAAACAAAAGTAACAAAGGCAGAAACAAAAATAGATGACGTGAAACAGGCAGCTTCAGCCGCTGCTGCTGCTGCCACTGCTGCTGTCGCCGCTGTTGCTGCTGTTGGCGTTGCTGCCGTTGCTGCTGGGCCCCTTTGCTTTGTAGGTTCTTTAGCTAATTGCTTTTCAATGCCTTCTAAACGCTGTGATTCAACATTATTTTTAAGTGCAGCTTTTTAGTTTTGATTAATAAAATATGATATATGTCTCTTTTTCTTTTCCAGGTTCGTCTGATGATTTCAGACACGGCCAGACACAAGCTTCTGGTTCTCTCGGGCCAATGTTCTGAAATGTCAGGGGAGCTGATTCTTCAGTCCGGATCCTTTTCTTTCTCTAATTTCATAGACATATTCACTGACCAGGAGGTGAGCAAATGTCCACTTATGTTTTATACCATGTCACACTGAACTCGATGAGCATTCACACACAGTTACCAAACGAGTTGTACAACGAGCTGGAATGTCAGTCGTCTTGGTGGTGTTTTTAGAGTTTAATTTTTTTTTCCTCTCATGCCCAGATTGGGGAATTGCTCAGCACCATTCACCCAGCAAACAAAGCCTATCTTACACTCTTCTGCCCCGAACAAGGCGACTGGAAAAACTCTAACTTGGACAAACACAACCTGCAGGACTTCATCAACATGAAACTAAACTCAGCACTTATACTCCCCGAGATGGAGGGGCTCTCTGAATTCACAGAGTACTTGTCCGAATCCGTCGACATCCCGTCACCTTTTGACATGCTAGAACCACCAACCTCAGGTGGATTCCTGAAACTCTCCAAACCGTGCTGTTACATTTTTCCTGGCGGTCACGGCGACTCTGCTCTCTTTGCTGTGAATGGCTTCAACATGCTCATTAACGGCGGCTCAGACCGGAGGTCCTGCTTCTGGAAACTGGTGAGACATTTGGATCGGGTGGACTCCATCCTGCTGACGCACATTGGTGATGATAACCTCCCAGGCATCAACAGCATGCTGCTGAGGAAGATTGCCGAAGCTGAGGAAGAACAGTCTCAAGGATCAACAGCGAACAGTGACTGGGTGAAGAACATGATTTCTCCAGATATTGGTGTGGTGTTTGTGAACCTTCCTGAGAACCTAGATAACCCTGCACCCAACTACAAAGTGCGGAAGATCATTGAGGAAGCAGCTTCTACTCATCAGTTCCTCACCAAGTTAAATTTAAGGATAGAACCATTGCAGAGGCCTGTTGGGAACACAATAGAACCAATAATCCTTTTCCAGAAGATGGGCGTTGGAAAGCTTGAGATGTATGTGCTTAATCCTTCGAAGAACAGCAAGGAGATGCAGCACTTCATGAAGCAGTGGACAGGCAGCGAAAAAGACGCGGCTTCCATTCTCCTGCCAAACGGAAAAGAATCCCAGTTCCCTGTCTCTTACTTGACATCGATTTCCTCACTCATCGTGTGGCACCCAGCGAATTCCTCAGAGAAGGTTGTGCGAGTTCTTTTCCCTGGAAATGCCACCCAGCATCACATCTTTGAAGGTTTAGAAAAGCTAAAGCACTTGGAGTTTTTGAAGCAGCCTGTTGTAACTCAGAAAGCGATGTCTGCCACCGTGTCTTCAACACCAACCATAAAGCAAGCAAAGATGAAACACAGGGCGGACAGCAAAGAAAGTCTGAAATCCACCCCCAGGCCGTCACCAAGCAAGAGCATCAGGAAGGACTCAAAGGAGGAAGCTCCAGAAAAGGCAAAGACAGATGCAGAAAGTACACATGAAAAAACTCAAAAAGTGGAGAAAAAAGAAAAGGTCTCAGTGAGAAAAGTAAAGACGAGTGAGAAAGAATCGAAGGCAAAGGCAGACACAACAGTACAAAATGAAGCACTGGAAAATAAAAAGTCTGAACTTAAACAAAAGGCAGAAAAGGTGACTAAGAAGGAGCCGAGAATTTCAATGGAGAAGAAAAGAGAGGCAAGAAAGGAAGTGGCAAAGAAAGATGATATTTTTAAACAGGAAAGTCGAAAAGATGAGAAGGTGAAAAAGGAGGACGCAAAGAAAACTTTGAAGAAGGACATCAGAAAGGACTCCCCTCTGAAGGAGAAGAAAGAAGAGAAAAAAGAGCAAAAGAAAGACATCAAAAGGCCAACCAAGGATGTGAAAAAGACGGATGAAAAGAGTTCAGCACCGAAACCAAAGGCTTTAAAGAAAGACAGTGCCTCAAATAAAGACGCAGGATTACCATCGAAATCAAAGGAGAAGGGAAAAACAAAAGTAACAAAGGCAGAAACAAAAATAGATGACGTGAAACAGGCAGCTTCAGCCGCTGCTGCTGCTGCCACTGCTGCTGTCGCCGCTGTTGCTGCTGTTGCCGTTGCTGCCGTTGCTGCTGCTCCCGTTGCTGTTGCTCCCGTTGCTGCTGCTCCCGCCAGTGATGAAGTGGAAGACCTCGAGGCAGTACGGTCTCTTATGTCCACACCAGAGGACCTTACTAAAGACTTTGAAGAGCTCAGGGGTGAGGAGTTGGTCGAAGATGAAGCAGTGATACAACAACTTGAGGAAGAAGAGGTTGTAATGGTCCACCATGAAGAAATACTACAGACCAAAGAGTCACCAGAGGCTCTGGAGTCTGTAGATGAGGGTATAACCACAACAGAGCCTGAAGGTGACAGTGGGGTGACCCCAGATGAACAGGTTTGTAAGGTGAAGCTCAATGAAAGTGTGAGTGAAAAGTTTGAAGACGAAGGAACCGTAATGGAGGAGACACCCGAGGGGGGAGACTATGAAGAGAAAGGAGAGATAGAAGAGATTTATGAACCACACAGAATGGAATTAGATGTTGATAAAATGACTCCCAGTGAAGATGAGCCTAAGGACAGGCAAGATGAAGCCGAACAAGAGGATGCTGTTGAAGAGAATGTTGGTGCGATGACTGAAAAATCAGAAGATCTGCTCTCAAGTCCACCACAACCAGAGACACAGAAGATCCTTGTGTCTGCCTCACCCAAAGTGTCCTCACCTGTTTCTCCAGCTGCATCTATTCACGATGAAATGCTTCCAATTGGCTTTGAGAGCCCAACAGCCTCGGATGATGAAAACAGAAACTCTGGCTTCACTCAGTCCAACATGGAGGTCCCCTGTGTGCCTGCTCCTGCAGATGAAATTGTGACACCCCAGCAAGTTATAGCTGATGAAAGCACGAGTGATAGAGATGACTCACTTCCAGAGGTTGGTGGAGAATTCTCATCTGTAGAGTCCAGTAAGAATAAGACTTACCTTGTCGAAGCTCAGACTGGATCAGGCCAGGGTCATAGTGAAGCCACTGAAGGTCATGACTACAGCCATTCTGCTTCAACAGTATCTACACCATCATCGCTAGAAGAATCAAAATTGTCTAAGGACCTCACTGTTGCGGAGAAAGCTGAGCAGGGTGACTCAGCACAGGAGGATGCCGTCTCAGCTCTCCTTACAACATTTTCCACAACAGAACCTTTTATTCGTTCTCCCTCGGTGGAATGTAAGGATGCATTTGACACGCCAACAAATTTTGGTGCTGCAATAGAATTGTCCACCACAATGGCGGGCGACACCGTAACAAATGTAGAAACTTCCATCAGTGCTGAAGACAAGACACTAGAAGAAGCGAATTCGCCTCAATCCTCTGGTCACACGCCTTACTACCAGTCACCGGTTGATGAAAAAGCTACAACTTTGCCTCCTGTCTCAGATGACAAAGAGCCCGGTCCTACAATTGTGGAACTACTGAGTGATAAAGAGGATTCCTCCAACAGAGTTACTCCTGAACCTGATGAACCATACCAGGAAAGTTGCTCCCCCGTAGAGAGGGCAGTATCCCCTCCCAAAACCCCTTCTCCCACTGAGCCTGACTCCCCAAAACAGAAGGTGGAGTCACCCCTTGATATCGAAGACAACATAAATGCCGGAGCCTTTGTACCAATGACCAAACAGGATTCAGACACCAACCCATTTACATCTGTCAAAGAGGAGAGTAAAATGTCAATATCAGAGGGCACCACATCCGAAAAGTCAGAAACACCTTTGGAAGAAGTGGTAGCAGAAGACACAATCTCACATTTGGCCTCAGCATCCACCGCCTCCCTGGCCACCAGCTCTCTACCAGAGCCAACCACTGATTCTCCTTCTCTCCACGCGGAGGTCGGTTCTCCTCACTCCACAGAGGTAGACGACTCGCTGTCTGTGTCTGTGGTTCAGACACCAACCACCTTCCATGAAGCTGAGGGATCACCATCCAAGGAAGACAGCCCCAGGCCCATGTCTATCTCCCCCGATATCTCACCAAAATCAAAATGCAGAACACAAGTGCAGGATACAAAATCCCCAGAGCATTCCACCATGTCTTTGGAGTATGGACAGGAATCCCCTGACCACTCCTTAGCACTAGATTTCAGCAAGCAGTCCCCCGAGTACCCATTTATGACAGGCAGTTCCCGGGCTACCGAGAATGGTCCAACGGAGGTTGAATACAGTCCCTCAGAAGGAGCAGATGCTAAACCGTCAAGAGAACCTGGTTCTGTAGTGGATAAGCTGTTGATTTTTGAGGATTCTATGCGTGCCACCTCTGCAACTCCGTCAGATGCCTCTCAGTCTACACCATCGGTTACAACCCCTTGTCAAATGACAGAGATACCTCCTGCTGTGGCTGAGGTAACAGATAAATCCCCTGTTACCCCTAAGGCAGCATCTCTTACCCAGTCTCCTCAATCCAGTGACCCATTGCCAGGATTTGTGGGTCTCACTCTTAAGGACAGCACAAGCCCAATTTCACCATCCCTGGAAAAGGTTTCTGATAGAGCTTTCACACCTCAACCGTTTGACAAGTCGCCTTCACCACCCACCGCTACTTCACCATGGTCTTGTTCTCCAGTGAAAGATGAGGCAGAGGATCCAGCTAAGGATTTAAAACCTTTTGAATTTCAGGATTCAACACATGAGGAGAAACCCTCAGTGAGCCCCAAAGTTCAGTCTCCTTCCTGTCTTTCTCCTTCCTTCGATCTGTGTGGTTATTCTGCCAGTGGATCCAGGGACCCAGAATCCACCCAGAGGTGTTCCACAGCTCCATCCAAGACAGATGTCGATCTCTGCCTTGTCACTTCATGTGAGTACCGTCACCCCAAGACGGAACTGTCTCCATCTTTTATCAACCCTAACCCCTTGGAGTACTTCATCAATGAAGAAAGTGCTTTGGATGAGGAGAAGCCTCTTGCCAAGTTTGGGGGAGGTCCCCCACCTCCAGGTGGTAAACTTTCTTCCAGACAATGTGATGAGACCCCACCTACTTCCATCAGTGAATCTGCCCCATCTCAGACAGACTCAGACGTACCCCCAGGTACAGAGGAGTGCCCCTCCATTACAGCGGATGCCAACATTGACTCTGAAGATGACTCTGAGACTCTGCCGACCGACAGAACCCTGACCTACAGGCACGCTGACCCTCCTCCGGTCCTCAGGGATTCGGCTCCGTCGTCAGGACACCATGATGTCTGCATGGTGGACCCAGAGGCCCTGAAGGCTGAAGAAAATGCCAATACTGATGGAGGAGAAAAGCCCAAGAAGAAAAAATTATCCAAAAAGACTTCGTCACCTGCTAGAAAGAGCGGCCTATCAAAAGTCAAAGATGCAAAGACTGAGTCTCCAAAGAAGAGTGCCGGAGAAGGAAAGGATGCCAAAAATGCAACAAATACTTCTGCATCAAGAGGTGTCAAGAGTGCCGCGTCAGGTTAGACTCGATGCTCTCATTGTTGTTACTTAGACCAGGTGTGGGCAAACTCTTTGGGCCACAATTGTCCCTAAAATTGAACAGGGGAGCCGGGTCAGGAGCAGATAGATGGAGCGTTCGTGTGAACTAAGATAAAGGACATGTAAAAGTCATGCATAAAGGCTAAAATGCTTTTATCATTTTCTACACCATCTATTAGGGACATGTGGGTATTGCAGGAAAAAGGCAGAAGTATGATAATATAAATAAATTATATAATTTTGAAAAGTTTGGTGGGCCAGATTAAAAAGCTGAACGGGCCACATCCAGCCCCCGGGCCTCAGTTTGCCCATGCCTGACTTAGACTTGTTGATTTTAAATGTATAAATTGAAATGCTTTTTTCAGGTGGTGGTAGTGCAAAGACGTCACTGCCCAACTGTCCTCCCATGTACATGGATCTGGTGTACATCCCCAACCACTGCAGCGCTAAGAATGTGGATTCTGAGTTCTTCAAGTACGTACGCTCCTCTTACTACGTGGTCAGTGGGAATGATCATACGGCTCAGGAGCCAAGTCGAACTGTCCTTGATGCTCTGCTGGAAGGAAAGGCCCAGTGGGGGAACAACATGCAGGTAGGTTTTCACATGCACAGACTATGTAGTATTGTCAGTATTTCATAAGTATTTCATGTATATTCATTGGGTCTTTTATTGGATAAACATGGATTTACACTTGTATTATCCATGTGATTCATATATATATATTATATATTCATATATGTTTTGTTTGTGGCGCTTTGGCAATGTCTCTGTCATTGGTGTGGAACCACAGGGTTCACCTCCTGGGCAAGTTTGAATCCCGGTTAGGGCGGTTGGTACCTTCCAGTGGACTCACCACCCACAGGAAGGTTTGGGGGGTTGGTACGGTGCAATGTGATTTGGGTGGCGACTATATATATATATATGTTAAATGTTAATGCCAATTTCGAGGATCTTGAAATGATTTTCTAACCACTCATTTCTTCAACGTCAGGTCACTCTGATTCCAACTCATGACACTGATGTTCTGAGGGAGTGGTACCAGGAGACCCACGACAAACAGCAAGAGCTGAACATCATGGTTCTGGCCAGCAGCAGCACTGTCGTCATGCAGGATGAGTCCTTCCCAGCCTGTAAGATTGAGATGTAAGCCTGAAGCGCCAAAACATTTTAAGATAAAAGAAGCCTTGCCAGAGATAGTTAAGATGTGTTTTATGGTTGGAGAAAACAAATCTGTGCTGCAGTGAAACTGAACCGGCTTTTAGATACAATCAGTGTAATTTCTAATGCATTTCACCCTAACAACATAATGCCTGGGTTAAAGACAGACAAAGGGTATAAATAAACTCAGTTTGTAGGCCTCCAATCAAAGGGAAAGACACGATAATGAATTGTATTGGAAGGAAATAATAAAGAGCACCGGCTCCAGATTTTTTAGTGACTCATTAATTTAAATGCCTGTCAGAGAACAAAACATCCGAACACATGGCTTTCATTTTGACTAATGTTATTCACACCAAATGATAAATCAGTATGTTATTGCCTTTCTAGGAAGTGAGAATGAATGTACATGAGCTGGTGTAACGACAGCGTCTGCATTCTGGTAGTGATCTTTAACACGGCCGTTATTTGGATTGTCGAAGGATAAGAAACGTAACCTGACGCACAGTAACATCACAGATGTCTGATAAAGTGCCCCTCACATTGTGAAATCTGCTGTTGAATTCAAATCCACTGGATCCATTTGGATCCATTGTGTTTTCCCCCTTTTGGGATATACTGTATATTTATTTCAAATTTATTTATTAATGATAATAATTTATTATTGTGCACAAATTCCTGTATTTGCCGTGCAACACAACGCTGATGGAGACTGATCTTCTTTGTCTTTGTTACATCTGTAAAGTTATGTTTAATGTCAGTCGTTTTATTTAATTTATTTTTTTTATTTCTGTATCCACTGAAACAGTTTCTGATCTGCTCTGGGCGTGAACTCATTGCACAGAGGGAGAGCCAGTCTTTCCCAATGTAAAGCAAGTGAGGCAGGATGTTTTCATACATCTTGAAATGTCTTGTTTTTCTAAAGCACTGTACTGTAATTATAAATAGCTGTTGTGGCTGACGGGGTGTTTGACATAAGCGCATGATTTCTGACACGTTAGGATTTTTCTCTTGCAGCGAGGGATTTCCCCTTGGACTTTGGGCGTTAGAACAGCAGGGATATGAAAGTATAAATGTAAGAAGCATTTTAGGATTTTTTTTTTGAAGGTCACAGTGCCATTGTACAGTCACAGAAGCAGTGGGTCTGTGGAGTCACTGTTAACTCAGAGCGTGGATTGTCAGGTCAGAGGGAGCGGGAAATATCTGGTACCAAGGTTAACAAGAGAAACAGCTTCTAGTTGTGGCAGTGGTTGTTCTCAGCCAGGAGAGTGAGTGGGTGAGTGAGTGAGTGAGTGAGTGGGTGAGTGAGTGAGTGGGTGAGGCGCGGTTCAGATGAAAGTATGTAAAACAAAACTCGACACTTTAACCACAATCATGACACAGACCACACCGACAGCATAACGGCTATTGGACAACTTTGACAGTCCTGCTTAAGGATAACCATCTAACAAACACACACACACCGTAACAACAGGCGTCCAGACTTGTTGCAGTTGACAGTATGAGTGACACGTCGGCTGTTCACTTGTCACAGACGCCAACCAGGTCGAATCTCAAACCAACAATAACCTACAAACACAGAGAAGACACTAGACCAAAACCGACTCTTCTCTTCTTTGACTTCTTTCTCTTACACTTACTCTTTTTCTCTCTCAGTCTATTTATCGCTGCCTTTCTCCGTTGTCCTTCTCCTGGGAGAACTTTATTAACGTTTGTCTGCGGCTGTGTGGTTTACTTGTCTTGTGATCATCCTGCATCCTCTCTCTCTCTCTCTCTCTCTCCCTCTAGTTCCCAAACCCATATAGTGTATACACAATAGCGATTAGTTTTAAGTGAGTGTTCCTTAGTGCTTTCTGATGTTGGTGTGCAATGTACCCTCGACCCCTACAGCAAAACCTGATTTAAGAGGAAAGTACCGAACTACTGAAGAACAAACATTCAAAAACAACAACAATAAAGTCTGGTATGAACACGAAGGTTTTGGGTCTGGGGTTTTTGTGTGTGTGTAGTGAATATCTTTTTTGTTATCACCACAAACAATACTCTTGCTGGGGTACATCAGGCTGCAACAGATGTATTGTTCCGTGTTTGTGTGTGGGGAAAAAATAGAGCAATATATTAAAAAAAAGAAGCTCAGAGTTCAAATAAAAGCATACACACAGATGTTACTGAGAGAATGAGACTATATATATATATATATATATGTCTAAGCTTTAAAATAAAATATAAAATATAGAATCTTAAACTAATGGTAAAGGCCACTGAAGGTCAAAACAAGTCTCAGATTAACATGGACGTATCGTGAATGTTTACTTCTAAAATACCTTTTGATACTTAGTCTAAAGATTATTTGGCTGTAGAGTAGATTTAATGAGATTCAGGCAAAGAAGATGCAGATCATATACAGTAAATTCCTTTAACATCCAGGAGGCCTGACATACATTGTACAAGTCTTAGACTGGTAGCACTTGTAGTACTTCGTAATACAGCTTTTAGACTGATTTAAAACATAACATAAAATCTATTTCTAACCCCTGACACACGTGTGGTTGAAGTCTAATAAATAACAACGTCTTCCGGTTTAATCTGTTTTTAGACTTCTTGTACAATGTGACATCTTTCTATAATCTACTCACTAGCATTATGACATATACAACACATTATCTTGTATTTATTATTGCAGCGTATGTCAATAAGTAAAAATATATAAATTATCCATGGAAACAAATCTCTTCATACAAATGATGCCAAACTAATTAACTTTAATGCCTGTAATGGATTAAGGGATTAAGACGATGCTATGTGGTTATGATAAATGAATTTAAATCAGTCCCTGGCCATATGTGGATGTAATGTATATTTACATTGGCTGACATCACCACGACAAAAACAATCAAATGCTCAGAAACATCAAACTGCCACGGACGGCTTCATGAAACGAATTTGCCTCCTCTATTTGATCCCAGCTTGAAAAAGTCCACACTTCTGAAAGTTCACTCGCTCAGTGCTGAGCCACAACTCATCAGTGACTTAGACCACTATAAAAAAGCACATTGTAATAATGCCTGCCATGCATTTCCTTTGTTGTGGGTTCCAAGACAGAACGCATATGTGTGAGTACAACATGTGATGGTTACATTTGGCACTGGTTTGACAGCATTGCTGCTAAATCACTGCCATTGTCTCTCTTAAAAAAAAAGTATTTTGAAAACAGTCCTAATTGTCAGAAATATATTCCAAATGAATACAATATATGCAACTCAAAACAAGTTAGAATATTTAATATAATATTTAAAATATGAAACATGCCAGATGGATATGAGTAAAATAATAATCCAGAACATATTCCGCTTCTTGGACCAGATGCTCCAGGATGAGACAACGCATCTCCGTACTCTGACCTTTGATTTGTTGTACGACGGGAGACCACAAGTCCATACATTTAATGACTAATGTCATGTGAGAACTGGACTGGGAAACCAGACTGAAAGCTCACACAAACTGGAAGTGGAAAGTTGTTGGGGTTTTTTTAACGTTACTATGCTGTACAAAAGTCATGCAAATACATGAGCGTCCGTACTTCATATCTGAATCTAATATGCATCCACAGACGTTTAGGATTTAGGGGGGAAATCAGACACTGAGTAAAGAGGCATGCATACAAATGGATATCATAAGTCTGGCAAAAGATAGAAGCTAACCTATTTAATTGTCTTTCAAGGACAAGCCTTTTATAACTGTGGTACACTGGCTGACACAGTAATCAGCTCCAGCTGGATTTCATTCCCTGCCAAACCTGTTTCAGCGGGGACATTCATTTATGATGATGGGACACCCCAGGCACTTTCCAAAACCAAAAGGAAAGGCACACAGGGATAAATCAAAGAATGTTTAAAGAGCTGCTATCTGTCGCCAGAAACTGACTGTCTAGAATGGGAAACCTGAGTCGGAGTGCTAAAAACAAACCAACAACAAACAGCCCTGCATCTCCACAGCTGCCAAACACACACTTAAGTCTCAACCTGTGGGTGAGCTTCATGTGTTCTATGATTAATGTTAACACACATTTGCACAAAGGATAGAGAAAACCCTCAGCGATGCAAACGCCGTGTAAGAAACCATAAATTATCCATGGCCTGGTGTCTGATTGGCCGTGTGCGCAATCTCAGCAGGGTGGCCTGAGATCTTGTTGCCAAGGTAACAGTCGGGATCCTCCCAGTCCCAGCCCTATTTCTCTCCTTGCAAGATGCAATAAGTTAAGTCAACATTGATGCAACCAATAGATTAAAAAAGTATCAAATAAACCTAACATATGTACACCATTATAAGGTGCTTATTATTATGCATTATCTTTTCTTTTTTTAGGAATTATAATCCTGATTATTTATTTTTAAAAGGATGTCCAGTATACTGTACATGTATATACTTTACAATACTTCACTCCAGCTTCCAATGTATGGTCTTTGTAGATAAAACACAGATGCAGTCTTTTGTGAGGATGTAAGCCCCAGGTTATGTAATGCTTTGTAGGTCACTGAGTACACTCACTGGAGTTGAGAAGTAGATCTCCCACAGTGGCCAGACTGAGGTAGGAGACTGTCACTCATCATAAATCAAGTCAGTTGTGTGTAATCTAACATTACATTAAGGATTTAAAATGAAACCACTAAAAGAAGAGATTGTCTAGGATCCATTAACAATATCGGTACATACGGTTTCAATACATTAGTATTATTATCTTCCAGTGCTTGATTCTTCTACGTTGTGGTACCCCTTTAGTAACCCCTTTCTAAATGACAGATGACTGGCCAAAAGGTGGCGTAATTGAAAATGTTAAGATTATCATTAAGAGGAACCGCATGGGATATATTAAGACAAGCATCTCGGAGAAACAACCGAAACAGTTTGAGATGTTTAGAAAATGTGCTGAAAGAATTCTGGATTATATATATATATATATAATTATAATTACAGTAAATGAGGGCAAGAGAATGAACAATAAAAATAAAAATGAATTACCGGATGAGGATTTACCATCAAGAACCTCTGTGGTGAGGTCTTTGTCATACCATGACTATATTATATTACTGATACTAAAGTTATATAATGTTCAAGGAAAACAACATAAAAAAATCCGCCAACTGTAATAATTGTGACGTCGTCACATAACTTTAAACAGTTTCCGTCTTTCACTCTTATAGTATACAAAATAAACGTTGTTAAACTTTGGGGAGACAGCACCATCTAGCGAACCGAATATGATCTACCAATTCACACGATGTGTTGACATACGTTTTTATACACCTGAAATAAACGAGAAAAATTATTTATTAAAAATCTTTTTTTTAAAAAACGATTGTAAATATATCTAAATAATTAGTGACACTTACAAAAATAAAAAAATGGTTTCTTATCTTGCCTCGAATACAGGGCGCAGCCATGTTGGATTATACCAACTGCAAATTACGCGCTACAATTTAATTAACATTACTAAATGTGTTGCTGGTTAAGTAACAGGTTGTATACATTAAAAATTAAAGTATTGTAAACTTTACCCGCTGTGTATTACTCATTAATGTTTGCGTCTTGAACACAATTAATGTTTTTAAAACGGACTCCCTTGTTTTGAATGCCATTGGTACAATCTATGAGCATCATGGCGCTGAGGGCAGTTGGAAAATGCTGTCGGTCCTTACTAAATCAGTATTCTAAAGGAATCTTATTAAATGTTTCCCAACCAGGATGGATCGAAAGCAGCAGAGGAGGTACGGCAAACACGCATTTCATACTTGTCATCTATGTTGATGTGTTGCTATCCATTTGACTGACTGCTGTGTAGACTTTAAAGGATTAGCACCATGTTTTTGTTCAGTGCTACAGCTAACGTTTTATTAAAACTATTCATCGCCTTTAAATTAATTTCCCGAATGGTTCGTTTCAACTGTGTGTTAGTGTGATGTTACTGTAAAGTGACAACCAATACTATAAATGAAAATTTTTACTTGATTGGTGGGTCCAAGTAAATGTTTGACATTTCCATGTTTGACTTTTATTAAAACTATACTTGTTTGTTCGCCGCTTTTGAACCGACTTTGCAGAGGTTGTCGGTGTGTTAATACCTGAGGGGTGAATAAATAGTTGTGGCTAATTAAGAACATATAAAGTATAAAATGTTACTGACACCAACACAATTTCTTTATTAACTTTCAAACATCTCATCTCTGCAGCAAAAAGGCATCTTTTGTCAGAAGATGTTATCAGGATGAAAGACTTTCGGGAAAAGAAGCTAGCTCTATCTTTCCTTGGCAGGGGACCAAAAGGTAAATAACCTTTGCAATGGCACTAAGGGTAATCAAATCATTTAAATTTGTGTTTGTTGACAAAAAACAAAAAATAATTTTGCTGTATTTTACAATGTTTTTTAGAACAACATGTCAAGAAATTAATCGAGAAGCTGCAAAAACATGAGTTGATCCTACAACAGGAGCTGAAGTCTTTTCTTTATCTATGCGATTCTGTTGAAGACATGGTGATAGCCAGAGATGCAATATATCGGTAATGTAACGCCTCTCATGAGTATTTCAAAACTTATAATGTGCTCTCTAATATTGTAAAATTAATAAATAATTAGATAATCTCTATATTGCACAAAATGAAACAAATATGTTTTTGTTTGATGTGCCTCCCCAGGTATCATACCGAGAATAGTAACGTGGCTTTTGGGAGTTTTAGGTTTGGTCCCCTCTTTTTGAGACTGTGCTATGAGCTGGGTTTGGATGACATGGCTGCTGAAACAATTACTGATAAGGTAATACATCACACCAGACAGCTGAGAACTGATGTGTTGAACAAGAAATACTGAATTATGTATATTTGTTTGTGTTAACAGAAAATGGAAGGATTTTTCAATGATCGGACATCTTACCACATTACCACAGACATGTTGTTTTCCAGAGGTTCTTATGAAAGTAAGTGGGGGAAAATATGAAGTATTTATTTTCTGTCTAAATGTCTTAGAACATTTTTTACAATGTTGGCCTTTGCAGGTGCACTTGGCGTAATAAAAACCATGAGGGACCGGAGGGTTGGATTCACCGGAGACACATATACATTAGCAAGTGGTACCTGCTACAAACTGGTAACTCTATAAAGTTTTTTTTTCTGACGTAATTTCTGACAAGCTTGTTTTGAGGATGTATCCCGGTGTAAATATTCTGTTTTATTTTGGTCAGAACACAGACGAGTCCTTCAGAATATGCACTTCTCTACTGGAGGAAGCAAAGAACAAAGGAATCTTCATCACCAGAGTGGCTTACTGCTTTGCAGTCATGTTAGCACTTCGGCAGGTATGTTTTGTTTTTTATTCTTAACTTCCCTTAATGCAATTACTATCATGAAACATTTTCTGATATCTGTCATGTTGTTTCTGCTTCTTTGTGTTTGTTTGCTTTTTTTTTTTAGAATGAAACCAAACAAGCACAAGCGCTGTATTCACAAATTAGGATGACAGACAACTCTTTATGTCAAAATGTAAAGGTAAGGAAGCATCTGATTGACCTTATTTTACAGCCACACCACTGTATCATTTACTAGTTTTTTTTATTTTATTTATTTTCTTGTGATTTAGGTTGCACGTTTGTTTTTTTAATTTATTTTCTTGTGATTTAGGTTGCACTACTAGCTATGTCCGGAGCAGTGACAGAGGCAATGTCCATCCTGTCTGCTGCCTTGTCATTCGAAGACTATTCGTTTTTAAAGAAGCCTGAATTTTCACGTGAAGTGGTGAGTTACAAAGTGTTTGCTTATTGAAACATCATCAACATATTTTTGTTTTTGTTGCCTTGTAGCAAGTGCACAAATCTTTCAAAAAAAGGCATTGATAACCTTCAAGTTATGTTGTCTGTGTTTGAGCTGTTAATATATAGAAATACGTAGAAGAAAAACTGACTCTTTATTTATGAACTATTTTACAGTTGGATTTGCTGTCCACCTGCAGTTACAGAGGACCCCACATGGTGGAAGTGCAGGAGTTAGTGCATCATCTCCAACAGGCAGGTCTGGTTACTCAGCAGACCCTCGAGGACATGCTGTGCCAAACACCGTCAACAAAAAGAAATCTAGACCAGATCATTCAAGACAGAAGACTGAGCAGAAGGACTATGAGGCCACTCAACTCTATGTTGTTGTCAGAATGAGCAAACCATATTTTGTTGTTGAAGGCGGTCACATACTGAAAACAGGACTATATTGTCTGCCATTCACATGTCACACATCTACGTCGCTGCAGTCTTTGTTTTTTTTTAAGAAATATTTTACCGTAGTTGCCATAAAATTAATTAGGTCAATTATTGGTTATAATTTGGTGATATAAATTACTTTAAAATCCCCATTATGTGAAGAATCTGAGAAAACAAAGTACATGCACAAATATATTATGTAGCGTTATAAGTATGTGAACAGAATGAAATAAAAACTTGTTTTCACTTCATTGTCAGCTGCTTAATAAAGTCGGTTATGATTTTATATTTTTAATGCATAGCTTAGTGAAATTAACACGATTGCGACGAGGAAACTGCAGCCTCACAGACGCTGATGTAAACAAACCGTGACGCAAATCCAATCCTTCCCACAATGCACCGCTCGCATTTGACGACCAGCTTGCGAGGAGAACAGCGTTCTAACCCGAGCAAAGGTAAAGCAGAGTGGATGGTTATGAATTAACAGAAACTGACGTGGCTGCGTTTTAAATTATTTTTGGACTACTGCTTTGTGTAGGACATATGCTGCGTTGACATTTGTCTCTAGCGGCAGCTAGTAGCGGTGCTATTTAGCATCAGCTAGCCCGTTAGCTGGCGCTGACTGACGGCGAGAAGCTGCCTGAGGATAGGGGATCTGCATCCAACAGACCCAGAAAAGAAATATTTTTTACATATTTTTAAACTTCGAAACACTACTTCAAGACGTCGACGCATTGGTTCCAGTGGGTTAGCATTAACTTATCTAAATTTGGGCCATCTTTACAGCTATTGTTTGGTATAATTAGACTTAGATCTGTGTAGAGTGGTTTAGTAGCAGCAAACAACAGACCCAACACAATGAGCTCCGAGGAAAATTCAGCGACCGATAAAGGAGCCCCGGAGGACGATGGTATGACCTGGTGGTACCGATGGCTCTGCAAAACAGCTGGAGTTTTAGGGGGAATATGTAAGTATTCGTTAAAGTCTTTCTTTATTAAAGAAAAAAAAATATCGAAAGTATTTCGTGTATTATGATTTATTTGGTTTATCTTCAGCTCTACAGCTCAATCACGACGATTATTACTACTATTATTTATTTTCCTGGAATTATCATTTATGTTTTCCGTAAAGTATATATTTGTGATAAAGTCAAGCATTTGGTTTGATTGAAGTAACAGTTACCCTCGTTACTAGTGGGTGATTCATCCTGTAATTATTCATGAATTGATCAGTCAATCAGCTTGTTGTAGTTCCTTCACAGATTAAAATCATCAGTCAGTAAAGACTCATGTTTATGTTTTCCAAAGCAGGATATATATTTATTTATTTATTTTGCCACATCTTACCAACAGAAAATATTGGTACCTATTGTCTCTATCACTCTAGCGGCAACGTCTGGCTCCTCGTGTGTTTTTACTAACAGCTTCAGCTTGGCATTTCCACACTTATGTTATCATATGATAAACAGACCTCCACACACCACAGCAGGAGGCTGGCGTTCACGGTGAGAGGAGTGATTTTTCTTGCTCTGAACGCGGTCTACCAGCAGCAGTTCAGACTTTCTGCTTCCTCCTCTGTCACAGTGACACCAGAGCTTCGCTGCCTGTATCACATTAACCACACGGGGCACTGCATATTCAATAGGCCCTGTATTATTTAACAGGCTGGATGGCCTTAAGAACAGGTTATGATGCTTATTCCACTGTTTTTTACCACAGTTTGTACTGCAGATGTTTTGACTTTCAAACGTTCTAGTTTTTGTTTTTATCATTTTAGCTAGCCATCAGATATCATGTATAGATATTACACAGAATAATAAAATTTAACAAACAGCCACAAAACATCACATAAATTACATATACTGTATAAGTACATAGTACTGCATTAGCTAGTACAAATTGCTCAGAACTAAGGTTCAGGTTAAAATGATGAAATGAAAATGTTTTTTAAAAAATGAACATTGTGCAAAAAAACCTCTGTAATCAGACATGTGTAAATGACATATACTGTATAAGTACATAGTACTGGTAAACAATTGTTTCATTGCTGAGTAAAATGTAGTTTTGGTCAAAGTGCAGTGCATTTTGGTAAAAAAAATGACCTTGGATTGTAACTGAGCTGAATCCACATCTACGTATGTCTAAAACATTTGTTTAATTTTATTATTTTTTCCCCCAAATCTTTCAGCTTGTGCTATAGCGGGAGTGTGGAACTGTGTCACTGTGAACCCTTTAAACATTGCTGCTGGAGTGTGGATGGTGTAAGTCGTACTACTGTTCTGTTAAGCATTGACAGTTGACATTGAAGACTTTATGTAAATATATAATATACAGTCTATTTGTGTGTGTGTGTTTGTTTGAATTCAAAAGTAATCTGTAGTTTTATTGTAGCCACACAAACATATTTACTGCACCTCTCATTAACAAGGTCATACATAGAATCTTGATTATGTACAAAAGATCACACCAAAAATGCATTGCATTGAAAAAATAGGTGCTGCCTAAATGTTTTGGATTAAACATATTCAAACAATTCCACCTGGTGTCCACTAGGACTCCTTTTTAATTCATATCATTAGGTTAATTGATAGACAACACGGTGTCCAGACGTAGTCGAAAAGCTCTTTCCAATTAATGACATTAAAAATTTTAAAAATCATTAGCCCTGTGTGATTCTGACATTGTGTTTTCTCTTCTCCGTCTCCTCCTGTGATGTGTAGGTTGAATGCCTTTGTTCTGTTCCTGTGTGAAGTCCCCTTCTGTTGCCAGTTCATAGAGTTTGCTAACGCAGTGGCAGCTCGTGCTGACAAACTGAGACCATGGCAGAAATCCCTGTTCTACTGTGGGTGAGTTCAAATCTGATACATTTTATTTAATACAATGTAAGGTTTTGGTCGTTGAATTTTTTTTTCCGAGAATAAATATTTCGATGTTGTTTCCAATATTTGGATTTCTCTTCTGTCACTCAGGATGGCGCTCTTCCCTGTAGTCTTAAAGTTTTCCTTTACGACCTTGTTTGGAAACGCCATCGCCTTCGCTACAGGAGTTCTTTATGGCCTGGCTTCTTTAGGCAAAAAGTAAGCAGATTTGTACTCTCTGTTATAAATTGTGTCGTGACACATATCAAAGCATGGTAAAAGCACACTCAAGTCTTTTCAGTTTACTGGCATGACCGTTAAATTTAACTGACCTGTGTCTTTTGATTTGCCACCCATTTAACAATAAACTTGCCTAAAACAGTCTCCAATATTATATGCTTTCTAATCCATAGGGCTGTCAATGAACACAGTATCCATGATTAGAATTTGTGACATTAACCAGATTAAAAATGTTAACATAATTTAACACATGGTGACAGAATGGTGTGCAGTATATATATATATATATATATATATCACCAAAACATCTTGAGATCAAACTGCAGTGCCTTTTTATCCATGACATTGATCCATATTAATAATTTTGCCATTCATATCATCAGGTGTGAAACACTAACATTTAACCCAAAAAAAGTCAGAATTAAAATGTTTAATCTTGAATAGATTGACAGCCCTGCTCATTATGGTGAACAATAATTCTGTGTGAGACTTGTTCTAATTCTACTGAGCCTGTGACAGTGTTACAGCTGTGAAATAACCCTGTGTGAAACATTAACACCTGATGTCTCTGTTTCCACTCACCCCTCCCTCCTCATTACATTTTATTATCACCCGCCTGCATCCCGCCTTCCCTTCCCTTTCTTTCCCTCACTTTATTCCTATCTCAGGGGAGACGCAGTGACTTACGCCAGACTGCAGCACCAGAAACAAGGCGACGAAGAGAGTGCAGCAAATGGAGCCTTAGAGTGAAGAATCAACCGTCCAATACTACCGTCCCCACTGTTTTCAGTATTTTAGTTCTTCCTTTACTTCCAGTTCTGTCCTTTCATCCATCCATCCATCCATCCATCCTACCTCTCTTGCTCTGAACTCTGTTACTTCATCACAGTGAACCTGTGTTTACACCTTTTATTCTCTTCATTATTATCTAAATAATAGACTGATTGTAGGTTCGATCCTGAAATCTTGGCACCTTTCCTTAACTTGAAACATGGGATTTTAATGTTATCTCGGTCGCTTTTATTAAGCTTTTTGTTCTTAGTCACTACTGAAAATAATTAAGGGATATTTTGTAGCATGACATTCTGTCAAGTTTTCTGAAATAATTGTTTCTTTTTTGGGTTTTTTTTTTTGTTTGTTTTTTTTAAGTTTCGTCATCAAGTGTAGATTTTCCATAATGACTGTAAGGCTGTGGGGACCACCAGGCATAGTGGTTAGCACTCTTGCCTTACAGAAAAAAGGTCATCTGTTCAAACCCCAGCAGTAGCTGATGGTCTTTCTATATAGTGTGTGGTGTGGATTATCTCCAGGTGCGTTCCTCTCACGATCCATGTACGAGGGCTTTAGGGATTTAACACAAGGGAATGTATTGTTTCAAACCCAAAGATATACTTTTTTTTCCCTCATACTGTATGAATTTTGTGTTTTCCTTGAATTGTTTCTTTCCCCCTCGGGTTGTAGACTAAATGTTTGGTGGTGTTTCTTGAAATCTTATCAGTGCATCGGTCTGCTTGTTTACATGTGGCTGCTCACACTGGAGCAGCTCTAAGTCAGGTTGTGTGCAGATTTCGTGACATGTCATGCACAAGGAGAAAAAAAAATGGAAAGTGCGCTTACTTTATAATCCGTCCTATTTGTAATGTGTTGTATTTATTATACTCCGATTTTAGTCTTCATCGGTGCTTTTCCAAAACCCGTTAAAATTTTAACGAGGGAGCTACGTAATTAGTTGGCGTCCCACCCGATCATCAGAGCCACAGCTTGCCTTTGTTCCTTAAATGAGGTATGTGTTGTGTTCAGCAGTCCCTGTTTGTGTTGATATGTTGCCTTGCCTCTGTTGTATTGTTGGTATTCCTTCACTGCATATACCTCTTACAGCTGCTCTGGAGCTCCTGTCTGACTGTTACTGACAGATCACTCTGTGGGTGGATCCTCCACACATCACCACCTGATCTCAGGTGTCGTAGTTTACCAGGCGTAACACACAAAACCAGTGGCGTGTGTGTGTATAGGTCAAAAGAACACTTTTATCTCCATCATTTCTGAGCCATTGTAAAAACTTTGTTTAACATTCAAAGTATTCAGGAAAAAATGCTGACAAACAGTAGAAAAAAAATAATAGAAAAACCAGCAATCGTGCTACAATCTTAACTGAGTTGTTAAAGGATGTAAAAGACAAAAACCCTTACCGCAGTGATGAGCTGACAGCATGCTGGTCCCTGTTGTGTGCAGCCTCTGAGTACGTCCCTGCTGTAAGAGATATATGTGTGTACCATGTATAAAGTGTTCTGATGTGAAACCTCATCCTCTAACGACCTGGTGAATTAAACAAACTTCCTACTGCTGCCATGGTCTTGGTGTCTTTTCTATTGATTTTTGTCTAAAGAGAAAGACATTTCAGCATTAGCAGTACTATTGTCAGTATACGGCATTAAAACTGCTGGGACCGCCTGGTGCAGGGGTCTGCAACCTGTGGTTCTCGAGCTACATGCTGCACTTTTTGGCGCCCTGCAATGGACCGAGTTTTATCTGACTGCATATAAAAGTTTTCCCAGAGAAACCTCATGCTTGGCACTTGCTAGTGGCAGCCTGTTAACAGTGTATCTGCTGCTAACACAACAATTTCCCAAATATGGGATCAATATAGTACAATTTTTTAATTATCATTTTACATCAGTCATAGCATAGTGGTGTACTGTGTTTACTGTAACGTGTTGCTATCAGTCATAGCAAATATATCAGTATTATACGTTTCTTCAGCTTGCTTGCTAACAGCCAAATAGCATAATATCACTATAATATGAGATTACTATAAGTTTGCCGTTTTCAGATTAAGGAAGAAATGTTGATTGGTCCGTGCAGGTGACTATAGTGAGTGTGTAATACACAACAGTTAATGTCAGTGAACTGTCAACAGATTTCTTGTACTACAGTAATTTAAACACCTTAAAATGCACTGTTGTCGTCATTAAAAGAGTTAAAATGTTTTAGTGTCCCTCTGTGAATTGTATTAGCTGGTAATATTATTAAAACACCTAGTTTGGTGTTGAGGGTTGCAGACCTTTGGATTAGTGGATAGAGGTTTTTTTTTTCAGAGGCCCAAAAAGGTTCAAATCCCTCCTGTGTGGTGGTGTGAGGACCTGAAGGTGTTCAATGCTGCTCATCAATAGGTCAAATACAGGACAACAATGTCTGTTTATGTCCAATGAGTGATTCTTCTTCTTCATGTATATCCACAGTCAGTTTTTAATATAAGTGCGTGATTTGAGTGACTTCAAGAGATGAATGGGAAAAATATTCATAGCATTTATTATACAGATCTGACAATAAGGCTTTTGAAAGCAGAGCAGCTGTGATTGGTGAGTGGATTTGCTCTCTTTGTTCACTGTCTGTCGTCGTATGAGAAACTTGCATATCAAAGTCTTTGACCTCCTCCTTCACGGCCCATAAATGCTGCCGATTACCATCCAACCTAAGCTGCTTCAGCCGTCTGAATATTTATCTTTGCTTTGTACACGAAACAAGTGTTTGCTCTGTGAATCCGTCAGGTTTTCTCCTTGGTGGAAGGTTACAAAACAACAGCAGTCCTAACTACAGTACAATAGTGTTTTATTTCTGTCATGATTATTAAGATTCTCACTGTGAGTGAAACTGCTCAAACCAAATTCCTAACATTAATCTATGAAGTCCACTTTATTATGAGTGAAACATTAATCTATGAACTCCACTTTATTTTTCGACTATTGTTGTGTTCTTCAAACTTTTTTTTTTAAAGAATTAAAAACCAAAAGGGAAGTGTAATTTATCACCTTATAATAGTTCCGTCTGGGTGTAAAAATAAACATTCGAGGTCTGTTGTTGTTGTGATGAGCGGACGACTGGAGGTCAACTGTAGTAGTTTGCAACTATAACCGACAGGGGGCAGGCAAACATTTTAAAAGTGTGGCACGTCTCCGCTTTGTTTTCATATTGACTGTTGGTAAGTGTAATATTTTTAAAACTAAGTTGGGAAAAGAGAATAAGGTGAGGCTACGTGATTTAAGTGGAACTGACAGAGAATCAAAACTGTATTACCTGTATGTTCAACATTTCAGTTCCAATACTGCCACACAGATCTATTTGTGTCTCAACTCTAAGATTTATAAATCTTTATTCTTGTAAATGTTAACTTATTTCCATAACATTGCAACTTATTCTCGTGATCTCGTGACGTTTTTCCTTACCAATTTCGAACTCTTTTTTAATTATATTACAGCGTTCACAGGTCTCATAAGAACTTTATTTTCATTCATTTAACGTTATGTTCATGATTACTGACTTTTGGCTCCATTCTAATTGCAACAATATTACTCTTGTAAACAAATGATCTTGTAGCAGTTCAATGAAGTTCAATGAAGCGTACGCCATTTTGTTTATATAAATTTGCCACAATTTTCCGTAATATTATTTTTTCTCGTAATATGACGATTTCCCCAAATTATTTCTCATATTTGTTTTACTTTCTTACATTCTCTCACTATTTTCGTCTAATATCTTCCCCTTCAGTGGATGTGGCCCTGTGTGGAGTAGTTCAGTGCCGAGGCAGGGCTGCTGGGAACTTTGCAGCACTGAGGGAGTCGCTGTGTGATTTGGTGAGAGAGGGGGGAGAGAACGGGAGGGAGAGGAGAAGGAGAGAAAGGGAGAGAGAGGGAGGTATAACGTTACCAAACGACGGGGATTCATAAAAGAAAAAGAAAAAGGAAGAACAGCGAGCGAACCGAAACACCACCTGGAGACAGACAGACAGTCAGGTACACAGTCACTGATTATCGTTGTTAGCCTCATCCATCGTCTCCGTGGAGACACATGTGAGGACATTCACCAGCCTCGGGGACAGAGGGCGCGCACACCCGCGTCCCTCCTGAGGACTGGAGCCGTTGAAGCTCAGGGCAACAACAATGGGCTGCGTTCTTTCGTCCACAGGGAGCGCACTTCTGGAGCCGCGCTCCGCCGTTCTCACACATGAACACACCGCGGCTTTCTGTGAACCAGTCGACGGTCGCCGGTTTACTTGTTGAGCCGCCTTCGTGCCTGTTTGGAGCCCGTGTCTTGTCGGTTTTTAGCGGGAGTCCACGATGCCAGTTAGAAACAGGTACAACCTGGTGGACGATGTGGCGGACTCCAGGCTGCCGCTGCACAACGAGGAGGCTTATCAACACGGGATTTGCTTTCAAGCCAAGGTGACGTTAAAACTATTCATTCTCTTTATTTGGGCTCGTGTTTTTCCCCTGTTTAAGTGCCTGTATGTGTGTGTTCGAGTGGCAGGTGCACCGTGCGCCCTCAGCTGGGACTATCAGGAAGTTTGAACACATGGAAACACATGTGGCGAGTGTGATTGAAATTGTCATTTGAAAGTACATTTAATCATATTCAGACAACGTCGTCGTCTTTATTTTATATACTTATATTATTAAGGAAACACCTGGACATCGGTTCTGTTTATGATTCTGGGGACATGTCAATAAAAATGACTAAAATAGTAATAATAGATAACATGTATATGACAGCATCTATCAGATAACTAAATGTATATCATTTTACGCCACTAAAAGTCTGGACACATACCAACAGAACTGTTGTGTGAATACACCAGATGTATTAGTGGTAAAACGTAAACAAATCTACATTTAGAATTGCGTGCATTGCACTTTAATAAAAAAATGTATTTAAGTGATACTGTGATGTTCTGCAGTTGTTGCCCAGCCTCGGTCTGCAGCTGCTTTTCATTATCTAAAATCTGACACAATCTACAGTATACACACTTTATTCTATTCAGGGAGCGAGACTCTAATATAAAAATGTCAAACACACAATGATATAAAACTGGAATTTGATAAGTCGCTTATAGCAAAAGCATTTCCTAACCTATATCATATAGTCTCACCTGTGATTTTCTCACACACACACACACACACACTGGTGTGTAACCCTATCCTGCTAAATTCATGTAGGGGCATTATCATGAAACAGAGCTCAGTGGGAAAAAGGGAGAGTCCAAAGTTCAAACACAGAGTTGGGAGTGGTCCCTTTAGTGCTGCGTCCCGTTTGTGTGCAGTTTGTGTATTTTGCACGAATGGTAAACACGTTATTTGCGTTGTGTAAAACCAAAACACGATGACTGACTAAAAAGACACAACTGCTCATTTGCACAGTAATTCATCTGTAATCTAAAACCTGTATTTACTTTATGTTCATACTGTACTGTTTGAAACTGGTTTCATTTTGGTAACAATTCAAAGGATCCTTCAAGAGGGGCCGGGTCAGGAGCAGATAGATGGAGCGTTCATGTGAACTAAGATAAATGATGAAATGAGAAATGTAAAGTCATGCATAAAGGCTAAAATGCTAAAATGCTTTGATCATTTTCTACGCCATCTATTGGGGAAATGTGGGTATTGCAGGGAAAAGGGCCGAATTAAAAAGCTGAACGGGCTGCATCCGGCCCCCGGACCTTAGTTTGCCCATGCCTGTGTTACAGGATATTAGAACTAACAATGTTTGGGACAAGATTGCTGAAAAAAACTACAGAAGTAAAAATATGACAAGGAGGAAAGTTACAAAAAAGAGGAAGAAAAAAAACAAAGAGTAATTTGCTAATTTAATCCAGGGTGATTTATAGGGAACATAGAAAAATGGCTTGAATTAGCCATGAACTTCAAAAATATTTCGAAGGAAATAAGTCATCAAAAAAACGTAGCAACAAACCAATTTTTTAAATGGGTTTAAAAAAATAAAAAATAAAAGAGGAAGAGGTGAAAAGGACTAAAAAAATTGTAACGTCTGCCAGATAAGACAGCCAAAAGTTAGACAACAGTCGTAACATTTCAGAATATCAACCCTTGAAATGACCACGCCATCAAAAACATTTCATGGTGCAATGAGCGAAGGTGCATTTTACATAACGGTTAAAAGTCTTAAAAGTCATGTAAATATTTCATCATTTTACTGCTTCTGTGTTTCTTCATCACGGCTGGGTAGTTAATGTTTCCATAGTGAATACAAATGCAGTCGGAGCGACGCACTCTGACATTGACTGATCACCAAGATTAAAAAGCATCATGAGGGAATTGAATCAGGAGCGATCAATTGACTTGACGTTCACACACAGATGATGTGATTATCGATTGACATTGGCTTGATTTTAAAACACGTAACAACGTCCTGTTTCTGATCGTTTGCTCCACACAGTACGTGGGGAGTCTGGATGTGCCGAGGCCCAACAGCCGGATGGAGATTGTGGCGTCCATGAGGAGAATAAGGGTAAGACCCAAACAGAACACCAGTCTGTGTCATGTGGAGATCGTATGGAAGTCACTGTCATTTGAATCGATGTAATTAACTCGGAGTTAGATGTCTTGTCTTCGGGACACGTTGTTATGTCAACTGGTAAAGCCTGGGATTAGACCCCCTGACCTTTTGGCTGGAAGACAACCCACTTTACCTACTAATCCATGGCCTCACCCCTGAAACAGTGGGTGCTGTCGGATGAAATGTTTATTTCAGATGCAGTGATGCGTGTGCGAGCAAGACAACAGATTGCAACTGCTGGTTTGGAAGATAACAAAAAAATATTTTTTTTTGAGGGAGGAACACTGACAATTGTTTAGTATTGAATCGGTGTGTCAGCAAACATTGATAACAAAGTACAAATCAGCTAACAGGACAGTGAAATTATTATATTATATAGCTCCACCCGATGGTCAACTTCTATTTGTCTAATAAAAAAAAAATCTTTCCCCAATTTTTGTCCCGTCGAAAATTGTTCAATTAATGGGTTATCAATTGAAAAAATAGTTTAAAACACTTTTGGAACGCCAGATTTGACTATATACTGAAACATTTTTAATTTGAAGTCTCTATTAGCTTCACTTTTCTTAATATCTTTCTGGCATTTGAGTTTGTTTCCTGTGAAGCCGTATCTCTGTTATTTCACTGGGATCCTGTATTCATCCTCACACCGCCCCAGCAGGGTAGAGTTTTCTTCCAGAAGCTTCTACTCGGGGCTGTGTCAGACAGCTGTAGCTGTTCTGTAATCTAAAGAGTGATTCACAGGCTGGCTTCACATACGACAAGACTCTTATCTCCAGCTGAGTGGATATGCCCTGAAGAAATGTGTGAATTTTTGGAGCTACTAAAAAGCTGTAACGTCATTTCATCCTCTGTAAAAAGTGAGACTTCTGAGGTGAAATATACAGACCTTTTATAAAACAAAACATTTTGGGAAATCCCTAATGTGACTTTGACTTCTGTAGTAGAGCCAGCCAATGGCGGCTGCATCAGCTATGAGAATCTGCCTTTCAAATGAAAGTGTTTTTTTTTTATTTCAACCTAAAATCATTGATGGATCAAAGCTGGACTGTTTATGTCCTGTTTTATTTGGCTGAACAGGCAGATGGCGCCTCTCAAACTGCAATATCAATAAGGTTGTAAAGTGAGCTTGATGCCACTGCAGAGCTTAAATGACAAGCCGAGGTACGGTAGAGCCAGGGAGGTAAAAATCCATCCAACGTCGGTGTAGAAAAAAAACGTCATCACATTGAAGAAAGATTTTCAGTTTTCACAGCCAATCAGTTTAGCACCGTGTGCAGTATTCATGTGATTCCTCTTATTCACTTGTGCTTATTTATGTCTGTTCGTGCTCACATGTGGATACACACAGTACAGTACAGTAGAGTACAGTACGTGTTGGGTTGTTGAGTGTACTCAGCTCCCCCGAGGTCCAAAGAAAGCACTGCGTCAATAATGAATGAGTGAGGGAGTGTATTAAGGTTGTAACTCTCAGCCTGATGGAGAAAATATCTTTGGTTAAAAAAAAATGTTAGCGCTTCTTTGTAGAGTCTCCAGTGGCAAATGTAATAAGAAGGAGTCAGAGGAGCTGGTAGGAAACACAGATCTATAAAAAAAAGAAACATCCTGATTTATTCATTTGTGCTGTGATTAATGTAATCTCTCCTGACAGTGACTGGAGAGAGATGTTTCTATTTATAGCCATGTGTTATTACTGTACACTGACCAGCGCATGACTCAAGATCTGATTTTAATATTGTGTTATTTTTTGCGGCTGGTTCTGAAATTGAAAACATTGAACTTTTGATCTACTGTACTGGAAATTTTATTTTAAAATCCCCCCAAAAAATAGTTCAGTTGCAACTTGTGCAATGGTTTGAATCTTCAAATTTGTGGAAACATTTTGAGAAAATGATTGTTACTTAACCCAAAAATTCACAACTCCCCGCAGTACTGACCCGATGCTGCAGGGGGCTCCTGTTTTTAGGGCTACAGTGTTGCACACATTATTATTTACTCAGTAAAAGCCTTGTATATATACTGTACTCTCTCTCCGTGAAGGTTACGTTTTCATGGACGTTGGACGTTTTCTCCCCCAGTATCCATGCAGATGTGGCCTTAGTTTGAGACTAGTAATTTTATAGTGTTTTAACAGAAGCAAACTAACCTTTTTTGAAAAATGGCAAAGCATATTTGGGAACAGTCTAGAGCCAAATGTAATTAACACAGTGTATAAATGAGTAACTTTTCCTTCACTTCTCTTCAGTGAAGCCAAGGCCTCGTGTTCAATTTAAAAACACAGCCTCTAAGCCTTTCAGGGTCTCGGCTGAGGCTCAGTAGGGTGGAGCGTGATTAAGGGCAGTGAGGCTGGAACCGAGGGCAGTGTGAGAGAGACTGCAGTGGGAAAAAGTCCTTGAATCACGGGGGCGTTGGGGGTTGAGGGGCGGAGGTTGCTCGGTGGCTGGCGTAGCTTCAGTCATTTCAACTCCCTTCATTTGCAGTCGGTGTGAGCAAACAGGAGCAAACGTGTGTAGAGAAAAGGGAGCGCAGGCAACACAGCCTGACATCCAGGGGTGAACTGTAACACACACACACACACACATACACACATATATATACATACACCTGCCATTCCCACAGTGAGGGGATGAAAAGACACAATTTTGTCTCCTGTGGATCTTTTCAGACTCGGTTTTCTGTTAAATCTTTTCCCATTATGGCTGACTGGTCCTACTGTGTTCTTTATAAGAATTAGTTTCATTCAATTTGACCACTGGCTTAGAAACTGTCCCTAGTAATCTGTGTATGTATGTGTGTGTGTGTTAGTTGCTGATAGAGAGTAGCAGATTTTTTTACCATCCTGCTCCAGACAGTCGTTGTGTCCACAGAGAGACGTGCCGTCAGTAAACTCCAGTCTCCTTGTGGAACAACAGCAACACTTTTTACACAACTGCTGCCTCCTCACAAAACCAACACCCTCTCTGTTTCCCTCACCCCTCCTTTAACTCTCCTTTTGTTTTTGCACTTCTCTCTTCACTGCTGTTTCCTCTCCGTCCTTTTTACTCTCCTCCTCCTAAAATAGACGGTTTCTTGGACTAGTCCTTCTCTGGCTTTTTACTCAGCAAAGACAGGAATAGAGTTTTAGATGCAGGGCAGGCCGTCCAGGCTCTGCCTTTGAATTCTTCCAGTGTCTAATGGGATTTAACCCTCGCTCACATGTCCATCATGATGCAGTCTCCTCCTTTAGCCTGCTCTAAGAGCCTCCTGGAAGAAATTGCAGGCTTTCATTTTGCGTTTGCTGCTTCGTATACTTTCTGAGAACTCTATCTTTAACCTCGCAGGTTAAAAATATCTGGTCTTTAAAGTCTGTAGTTGGTCTGTCTATTTGGGCACCAGGTTGGTTAAAAGACATTTTTTCAAGCAGAATTTCTCTTTCTTTCTTTTTTGCATTGTCTTTCAAACACAATTTCCAATAAATCTTTACCATTTGTGGAAGGCCATTAATTGCAAAATGTCCGCCATCACATCAGCAACATCCTCCAGAAATGACTAATTTTTACAAATAGGAGACACCTATAGTTGCAGTTCGACAAGTAGATGTTTTGTCTATTCTACGTATACATATCTGTATCTATATATGTGTTTATATAAATATATGTAAATATAAATGGTCATAAGTGAGCGCCCAGCGTAATTCCTATGTGAATGACTTGTTTACAAAACAACTCCACCCATGGATGCCCCATAAAACAGAAAGTAGAGCACAGATTAACTGCAGGGGTTTGAGCGTTATGACAAAGGCGGGGGGGTCGGGGGGGGGCAGTTGGCTTGGCTCTCTTCACATTTAGGATGTGCTTTACTTAAGGGAACTCGGCCACATAATGAAGGCCTCTGTCTTTACTTTGTATTCCAGGCTCAATGGCAGATGTACCGGGGCGCAGCAGTGGCTGACCTATATGGACTTGGATTAGATGATACTGTAGCTTGGCTTTTTTGAAGGACTTTGGTTGCCCTTTGTTTACCCAGGCTCTTACAGAATAATAGACCCATTTCCTTTATGTTGATGACTGTTACAATTATCACCCATGTTTGAGAGCACACTTCAGCGGGATCTGCCGGTGCAGGGACTGGTCGTGTTGGAGAAATGATGGTGAACAGAATGAATAGGAAAATCTAGTCATTTGCAGTAAGTGGTATGCATAATGGGTTGTTGACTTTGTTATTGACATTTAATCATGACAGCATCACTCCTGCCTTTGTGGATAGCTGTATGGAGTGAGTGTGTGTACAGTGCACTGAGAGAACAGCAGGTCTGTGCTCACATGAATGGACAGGACAGGTGGTGAGTGGCCTTTGCCTTTACTACCAGCATCTCGTCTCATGCACACAGGCTCGTGGCTTCATCTGCCCTGAGGCTGACTCAGGCCTTTCAGCAGCACAATTAGTCAATGCTTATCTCACACCACACTCACCCTAAATAAGTTCCATCCACAGAAAGAGATGTTTTCTAAAGGTCCGTACTCACTTGATCTGAAGCCTGAAGGCTCCACAGACACTGACGGAGGGCTGTGAGCCAGGGGTTTGTTTCTCTAGTGATTTAATAAATAAAAAATGTAGTAGTTATAGTACCTGTACCTGTTAGAGGTAATAGAAAACGATTACGATGTGTGTAGTTAGAGGTAATAGAAAACGATTACGATCACAATGGGATTTAATGCAATATCTGCACAAATACTTAAATCTTTTAATTCAAATGTCACATAAATCAGGGGTCCCCAACCCCTGGTCCGGGGACTAGTACTGGTCCATAGGTTATTTGGTACCGGGCCACAGTAAAACAGAGAAAAAAATCTACTTCAGTTTTACTAATTTACTTCATTCAAGAATAATCCAGTCATATTCCTTTTCTTCTTTCTAAAATCTATAATCTGAAATCTTTAATATTTTTTCTGTAATCTGGATAAGTGTTATTT